TCTCTCTCTCTCTCTCTCTCTCTCTCTCTCTCCCTCCAGGTCACCAAACCTCTGGGCTCGTCCGGCTCCGACAAAGTCTTCTCGTCAAAAACCCACCTGCAGTATCGGATGTACAAGACGGTGAGACAACACGAGCTTTTTCCAAACGTCCTTTGGTCTCAGGTTTTTATTTTCAGACTTTTGGTCGTCGACATGTTTAACCGAGGTTTGATGAAACCCGCCGGCTTCTCGTTGACTCGGGGAAGTTGACGTAAACGCCTGTGTCTCTTTCAGCCGATCTTCCTGAACGAGGTGTTGGTGAAGCTGCCGACGGACCCGTCAGGAGACGAACCTCTGTTCCACATCTCCCACATCGACAGAGTTTACACGCTCAGGGCCGAGAGCATCAACGAGCGGTGAGACACACGTGGTGGAGACACGCAGACGAACACGCAGACGAACACGCAGATGAACACGTGTGGCACCTTTGTGTTTGAGCACAAACCTCAAATGTAATTTAAAATATATAAATGTGTGATTTCTGTGTTGGTGCAGGACGGCATGGGTCCAGAAAATTAAGGCGGCGTCAGAACTCTTCATCGAGACAGAGAAGAAGAAGAGAGAGAAGGCGTATCTAGGTAAGTCCACCTTAAGTTTCTGTGACTGAAGCTGAAATGAAAATTAATATAAGTTAAATAAAGTTTCTGAAGTAAATCACATCTACAGAGTTTCACTTTACATATTTAAATTATTTCCTCATTTGAATCCTATTCTCACAACTTTGCTGTGACGCTAAGCTAACCTCGAGCTTCAGTATCTGGGTTTGATATTTCAACATTTAAATCCGTATTGTTTGTAATTTCCTTCGTGATGTCGATGATGAGGTATTAAAATATATTCCATTCTGTTCGAGTGTCTCTTCAACCATTAGAAACACGTTGAAAAGTGTGAATCTTTATTATTTCAGTTCGCTCTCAGAGAGCTACGGGGATCGGTCGGCTGATGGTCAACATCGTGGAGGGAATCGAGCTCAAACCCTGTCGCTCTCACGGTACGCACGCTCACACTGGAACATATATAACAAAGGACCAAAGACTGCGTCGTCCTCGGCAGATAACATTCCTGATTGTCTCTGCAGGTAAAAGTAATCCATACTGTGAGGTGACCATGGGCTCCCAGTGCCATATCACCAAGACGCTACAGGTTTGACTGCGTCGATCACGTTTGATTCATGTGATGATTTAAAATAAGAAACGAGTTCAGTCGAGACTTTTTATTGTTTAAAGAGTTTTAATTCACTTTGAAAAATATTCATTACAGCCTTGACTGACTTTATTTGTTAAAGCTTTTATTTTATTTTTCTGTGTGTATGAAACGTCTTGAAGTTATTGGAGCGTTCGCGCTCAGTGGTTGAATGAGTTTAACGTCTTCTCTCTGGGTTGTTGTCTCTGCAGGACACGTTGAATCCGAAGTGGAACTCCAACTGTCAGTTTTTTATAAAGGACCTGGAGCAGGACGTCCTCTGCGTCACCGTGTTCGAACGAGACCAGTTCTCCCCCGACGGTCGGTGATGTTCAGACAGACCCAGGTTTAAAAGATCTTCCCTCAGATCAACGTCTGTGTCTAACGTCTCCGTCTCGTCTCGTCTCTCTCCTGCAGACTTCCTGGGCAGGACAGAGATCCGGTTGGCTGAAATAAAGAAAGATCAGGGCTCTAAAGGACCAATCACGAAGCGGTTGCTACTGCACGAGGTTCCCACAGGAGAGATTGTCGTCAGACTGGACCTCCAGCTGTTTGAAGAACCTTAAACCCAGAACAGGATCAACATGGACCGGACTCCGTGACCAGGAAGCGGGGCTGGATTGGACTGGACTGGATCGTCTTTGTCTGGTTCAGTTTCTTAGATCAGACGAGGAAACATTTCTATTATTGTCATTTCACAGTTGAATATTTAATTTCTAGTTTCTGAAAAAATGTTCTGAAGAGTCTTAAAAAGCTTCAGACTCAGTTTCATCTCTTAAAGAAGATTTAACACGTGAGACAGATGGATTATGATGCAGGCGTCTTTTTTTTTCATCCATATTAAATTCTCTGTCATTATTTATGCTGCTGGAACCTGGAGCTCAGACACTGGACAGTCGTTGTCAGTTTGTTTTTAATTATTAATATTATGTATTTTTGGACTTTAACAAAAGCAGCAAAGGGCCGAGTCGGACTCGAACCCACGGCGTCTGCAGGAGGACTCAATCAAAAAGCAAGAGACGATATTAATATTGTACCTAACCTCGTGGTTCTGAAGGTTCTGAAGGTTCTGAATCTCTTAAAATCTACATTCCAGGCCACAGAAGTCTTACACACTAAACATGTCCACGTCTTAAATAGTTTTACTGCTCTTTAAAATGATTGTATGAGAGGAGAGCTCCAAGACCAGGTCCAGTCCAGTCCAGTCCAGTCCAGTCCAGTCCAGTCCAGCTCAGTGTCACTACAGTATCTGATCCAGTCGTCTGTCGGAGATCGGCCGGGTCCTGGTTTCTCTCCTTTTGCGTCATCAGACAGACTCTCCAGTGACAATCCCTCCTGCTTTGTCCCCTACACCCCCCCGAAACCCCTGTGTGTGTGTGTGTGTGTGTGTGTGTGTGTGTGTGTGTGTGTGTGTGTGTGTGTGTGTGTGTGT